GCGCGGCGGGAGCGGTGGCGGCGGCGGCGGCGCGTGGTGGGTGCGGTGCGGGGGTCGGGTCGGCCGGGTCGGCGGTCGTCGGCGGGGGGCGCGGGACGTCGGGGCGCAGGCGCGGCAGGATGAGGAGGTGGGCAGGGCGCAGGTGGCGCAGGTGGGCCGCGTGCGCGGAGAGGACTTGCGTGGCGCCGCGGGCGACGCGCAGCAGGTCGACGAGCGGGGAGGACATTGTGCCGCCGGCCGGGAGGTGGCGGGGCGGGGGAGGGAGGGGAGTTGGCGAGGTAGAAGAAGACGAAGCAGGGGCTTGATGACCGTAGGAGGTCGAGCGGTTGGTGGGAAATGTGGGACAGCAATGCGGCGGCTATTGAAAGGTACACACGTGGACACGATGCCAGATATTCCACGACGACGGCGTGGACACGTGGAAAATGGCACGGTGAACACGTGGCAAGGGATTTAAAGGCGGCCGCTCTCTCGCGAGACTCTGTCACGAAAGGTCTTCAAGTTTCGTGAGAGAGTCTCGCGTGGTGCCCTCCTCCGCTGCGTACCCTTGGGTACCACCCACCTTAGAGATGCCCTTTATCGGAATTACGATACCTGCCGTATATGCCGTACACGTGCAGGACTACGTGCAGGACTACAGCACGGAATATGCCGTTAACGCGCTAACACACACAAGCACATGCGCTGCGCAAGTCTATGAACATATACAGTGAACCCTCGCTATCTGAATCCTTGTTATGTGAACATCCGCGATATGTGCATGCCATTGCTCGGAACGAGCTCCGGAGCGTTGATTGCAGGTCACATATGAGGTATTCATGAATACGGCCTAACTGAATACTACAAGCACATCTTAATCATAACAGGCCTCATACAAGAGCATTCTATGAGACAAAACTGAGCTATGATAACTTTATTCATTATAAATGTGGTTCAATTTCCAGTTTTCCTGGGCAATCGAAAATGGACACACCTCGAACGCGCAAACCAAGCCAAGCAGACCCGCATTACTCAATATTTTGGTTAAAACTTATGGGGTTGTTACATATTTGGGCTGTATATGAAACATCCTTGGAAACTGAATATGAATTGAATGCGGAAGGAAGCAACCATCCATACAGTATTCAGATATCGAGGGTTCGCTGTAATATATACAGTATACACATCTACCACCCGTTCACGCGCTAACTCACACACCAATGCACATGCGCTGCGCAACTGTATGGAAATCCTTTTACATGTCTTACTCCTTTTCAATATACACACCTGCCCCCTGTTCACACGCTAACACGCTAACACGCTAACACGCTAACACGCTAACACGCTAACACGCTAACAACTGCATAAAAATTCTTTTATATGTCAATACTCCGTTCCAATATACAGACCCACGCCTATCCACAAACAAACAAAATCAGTTAATCAAGCACGGCGGGCTGACGCTGGGCCCGCAGATCCTGCGTGCCCTCTTGAGCTGGGCCATGCAGCACCCTTCCTTGCCTCCTCTCCGGAAAGCGCACCCAGGCCCGCCGCACTTGCCGCACGACTTGAGGCAACAGAACCTGCCGCTACAAACGCCTCCTTTGACTGTCTCCTCGCCGTCGATGACCCCCTCGGCAGCCCTGCCGTCAGTGGCGTGCTCCTCCCCCTCCTCCATAGCCCTTTCCACAAGCTCGGGCGTGATGCGTCCGACGCGATCGGCGGAGCGGAAGCTCTTGGGGCGCCCCCAGAATGCGCGCGCGCCCAGGCAGCCGCGGTTGCCGCACTCGCCGATGGCGTCCGAGCTAGTGTAGCAAGCGTCGGGGCGGACAAAGTCGGCCGGGCCGTCGCCGGGGTCGAAGAACGCGGCGTGCGCGCCGCCCAGCGGGCCGCCCGCGATGCGGACGTGCGAGCAGCTGAAAAAATCCGGGAAGAAGCCGCGGTGTTTGCGCACGCCGCCGTACCAGACGAGGCCGAGGACGTAGTCGCCGTCGGGGAAGGCGGTGGGGATTTCAACCTCGCGCGAGAAGGCGAGACGGTCGCGGTCCGTGCCGCACGCGGCGCGGCCGCGGCACGCGGTCAGGCCCGAGTGCCAGCAGGCGTGCAGCAGGGTGAGGCGGTCGTGCCAGGCGCGGTCGTTCATGACGGCGGCGGGGACGAGGGCGAGGCGGACGAAGCCGCCGTGGTGGTTGTTCTTCGCCCAGGCGACGGTGACGCGCGCGCCGCGCGCCCACACCTTCTCCGGGCGGTCGATCGAGTTGGCCATGCCGACGTTGTACGACAGCGGGCAGGCGTTGGTGCACTCCGCGCCGC